TCAAATACACACACACACACACACACACACACACACACACACACACACACTCTTTTATCTCCCCACAGGCATTATGCAATATAAAGCATATTCATTTTTTAAGTGATTATTAAAAGTACAAAGTCATTTTTCTTTTTTGAAACTGGGCAACTTGATTAAGAATTTTGTTAAGAATCAGAGAAAAACTCTTTCATAATGCCCTTAGAGGCAAAATTACAATCAATTAACTTAAAGATATACTTCTGAATCAAGTATTTCTAAATCCCAAAACTACAAACAAGATTAAAATTACAGTAATACAATGTGGAAGAAATTGCTATCTGTCCCTCTTACTTTACATATAGCCAAAACAGCAAACAAAAAAAGGACAGGAACACAGAAGACTTTTAGGGCAGCAAAACTATCTGTATGAAACTATAAGGTGGACACACATTTTACATTTGTCCAAACCCACAGAATACACAACACCAAAAGTGAATTCCGAGGTTAACTATGGACTCTTCATGATAAGGATGTGTCTGTCAATGTACGTTCATCAGCTGTAACATATGTACCCATTTGGTAAGGGAATTGATAATGGAGGAGATTACGCATGTGAGGGGGCAGAAGATATATTAGAAATCTGCTAAATTTTATTGTAAACCTAAAACTGCTCTAAAAAAGATTAAGCCGTGATAGCTTTGGCAGCACATATACCGAAAATGGAATGATACAGGGAAGATTAAGATGGCCCCTGTGCAAGGATGACACACAAATTCATGAAGCATTCCATATTTTTTAAATTGTCTATTTTTTAAAGTGGCATACATTTCTAGTAAATGCAGAAAAGCCAGAAATTTAAACAATTTGAATTTTACATTTTAGAAATTATAAGTAAATCATATAGAAGTCTTTCTGCATAGAAACTCTTTGATATAGGAGAATGAAAACTAATGTAAAAGATAGCAGACATAACTAGCTATTTATCTCAGGGCAAGTCAGTGACTTTCTTTGAAGCTCAAACTTCTTATCTTTAAAAGGAGGAGTGACAGTATCTGCCCTACCTTTTTCACAGAACTGTGAAGATCAAATGAGACAAGCTTTGTAAAAGTATGTAAAAGAAAAAAAAAAAGCACCCTACAAATATTTCTCATATATATTGTTAGAAGAATTTTAAATCAAAACTACATTTTCACTATTAAAGTAAGTATAAACAAGAGTTCTCCGGGTCTTCATAGTTAAAACAAACATTTTTCCTAACAGTCTTAATGACATCAATGAACAGTGTGGTGATTCTTTTTAAGTCTAACAGAGGAATGAAAATCAGCCCAAACTGTTCTCACATTCTGAATGGCCTAAAGGTTAACCAACTGCTTAAAAGCATTCAGACCTGTTTCCTAGGTCCTAGGAACCTAAGACAACATTCATTCTTTTGCACCGTTAGCTTATTCTAGCTGAAAGAAATAATATATTAAATATTCCTTTAAATACTAACCTGTCTACTAAAAATTCTATGGGAACAAAACCTCAAAAATCAAGTCAGAATCAGTAATAAAGTTTTGATTATCAACAGCAAAAGAAGAAAGGGATATTAAGCAATGATAATATCTAATATTCTGGCTGTCAGCAAAGCCTGAGTCCTATCCTCTCGCTCTCCTCTCCAGACAGCACGAGCTTCACCTCTCGCTCCACCTTACCCACCAATTACCAGTCCCTGACCTCTGTCCATGTGCCCAGCTACAGCGCCCGGCCGGTCAGCAGCATGGCCAGCGTCTAAGCAGGCACTGGGGGTTGTGGTTCCCAGACCTCTGTGTCCCACTCCACCAGCTTCCAGGATAGTTCTGGGGACCTGGCTGAGGGGATGGCCAGGGGTCTGGCAGGAATGGGAAGCATCCAGAACAAGAAGGATACCATGCAAGGCCCGAACAACCTCCTGGCCCCCTATCTCGACAGAGTTTGGATCCTGGAGATCAAAACCTGGGAGTACCTAAAGAAGAAGGGACCCTAGCTCAGAAACTGGGGCCATTACTTCAAGACCATCAAGGACCTGAGGGATGAGATATTCATAAATACTGTGGACAATGCCTGCATCATTCTGCAAATTGGCAATGCCCGTCTTGCTGCTGATTACTTTAGAGTCAAGTATGCAACAGAGCTGGCCATGTCCCAGTCTATGGAGAGTGACATCCGTGGACTCTGAAAGGTGACTGATGACACCAATGTCATTTGGCTGCAGCTGGAGACAGAGATCGATGCTCTCAAGGAGGAGCTGTTCTTCGTGCAGAAGAAGCACAAAGGGGTAGTAAAAAGCCTACAAGCCCCAGGTACCAGCTCTGGGTTGACTGTGGAGGTAGATGCTCCCAAATCTCAGGACCTCTCCAAGATCATTGCCAGACATCCAGGCCTAATACAATGAGCTGGCTTGGAAGAACCGACAGGAGCTAAACAAGTACTGGCCTCAGGAGATTGAAGAGGACACAATAATGGTCGCCATGTAGTCTGCTGAGGTTGGAGCTGCTGAGATGATGTTCATGGAGCTGAGACGTACAGTACAGTCCTTAAAGATTGACCTGGACTCAATAAGAAATCTGAAGGCCAGCTTACAGAACAGCCTAAGGGAGGTGGAGGCCCATTACTCCCTGCAGATGAAGCAGCTCAACGGGATCCTGCTGCACCTGGAGCCAGAACTGGCATAGACCTGGGCAGAGAAGCAGTGCCAGGCCAACCAGTACAAGGTCCTGTTGAACATCAAGGTCAAGCTTGAGGCTGAGATCGCCACCTACCGCCGCCGGCTGGAAGATGGAGAAGACTTTAATCTTAGCGATGCTCTGGACAGCAGCAACTCCATCTAAACCATCCAAAAGAACACCACCCGCTGAATAGTGGATGGCAAAGTGATATCTGAGACCAATGACACCAAAGTTCTGAGACATTAAGCCAGCAGAAGCAGGATACCCTCTGGGGAGCAGAAGGCCAATAAAAAGTTCAGAGGTCATTGGATGTCAATATATATATATAGTTTGAACCTGGAAGGCAGAGGCTCCAGTGAGCCAAGATTGTGCCACTGCATTCCAGCCTGGGCAACAGAGCAAGACTGTCTCCTAAATAAATAAACAAAATTTAAAAATAAAATAAAATTCTCTACAAGAGTACAGACAGCCTGTGATCTAGATTTGACCTAATAAATATTAAACAGAAAAAGATATTTATAGTCAAACCAAAACCACCTGAACACAGACCTTAAAAGTATTACTAAACACCTTGAAGTCTGGTTCAACGGAAGAAACTACAATTAAATACCTATGACTAAACTTTCTAAAGCTATGATCTTAACATGTATTAGATCTAGATCCCTGGCCAGGTACACTGGCTCATGTCAGTAATCCAACAACTTTGAGAGGCTAAGGTGAGAAGGGGTTAGGTGTTGGAGACCAGCCTGGGCAACAGAGCAACACCTCATCTCTTAATTTAAAAGGAAAAAAAAAGATCTAGAGCCCTGATTCTAACAAACCTTACAGCTGAAAGAAGCAAATTACTGAAAAATCAGCCATATCAAACTGTAAAGCATGTTGAACTTTAGCTCAAAATCTATTAATACAGAAAAACTATTATAATAGTCCCTGATATAACAACAAATATCTATTATGTTTATCCATATAATTTAAGGCAGTGGTCCCCAAACTTTTTGGCACCAGGAACCAATTTCATGGAAGACAATATTTCCACAAGACTAGACTGGTGAGAGCGGGCATCCTTGCCTGGTGCCACATTTCAAGGGAAATGCTTCCAGTTTTTGCCCATTCAGTATGATATTGGCTGTTGGTTTGTCATAAATAGCTTTTATTATTTTGAGATATGTTCCGTCAATACCTAGCTTATTGAGTGTTTTTAGCAT